CTAGTCTGGTTCGTTATATTAACGGACGCGTAAATAACCTTTTAGAAAATTATGAATTCATCTCCTTCCCTTAGCTATGGGTAAAATAGCTGAACTTTCATCTGGAAAAATTATCGTTATTCTCAAAGAAATTGTTAATGCAATACATTCAGTCACAAAAATAAACTAATTTTATTTTTACAATCCTAAAAATGTTTCGATTTTAAATAATCCACAAAGGGCTTATAAACCGTAAAGCAAATTAACAACTATCTTTTGTAGCTCTAAGCTGTGGTTGTCCATTTGCAATCCCTATCTTGCTATCCATTTACACGCTCATTCGGTAGGTCTCTTGCTGTTTCTATATGTTCTCTTACTTTTTCATGTTAGACTTAAATTTTCCAAGCCCTTTTTTCTCAAGATGTGTCCAAGAAATCTTCACGGTATATTTTCTGATTTTGAATATGAGTACCCTTTTTATCCTTATTTTTTTAACAGCTTCCTCGTTGCTTGTATGTTCTGTTCATGGTAATCTCAGCATTTGTCTACAGCTCTATCGCTTCTTTGAAGAAATTGTCCAGCGTTCACTGCCATACAGGAGTAATTCTAGTTCAGCACTCTTTTCTTTTTTTTTTCTTTGCTTATAACGAAAAGTTCCTATCTCTTAATACTTTGCTTATTGTCTTAAAGGCAAATTTCGCTATTCTGATTAACCTTCGGATATCTGTGTCACACTTTCCGTCATCTGTTAATACACGATTCAGATATTTAAATATATGTATCTGCTTCATTCTTATGTCTCCAATCCGAAGCTCTCACTTTTGGTTTCCTCTTGCTGCTGACCATACATTCTGTCCTCTTAATGTAAATAGGCGTTTTTTCTCAGTTTCCGTGTCTCTGAGTTTTGTTGCTTTGAGGATGCTAAGGATATCATGGACTGAACGTGTGAACAACGATGAGGATTTGGAGCGGAGGAGGAAGCTTATACTTAACATCAGGAAGAGGCAGCTGAAATTTCTGGAAAACGTAATCAGAAAGGAAGGCTTGGAAAATCTGACACTCACAGGTCGAAAAGAGGGAAATAGAGACAAGTGAAAGCAAGGCATGACATACCTGGTGGGCTTGAGCAAGTAGATGACAGAACATAGCCTAGGGAAAGTAGCAAGGGGACAAATCTTATTGAGCGCTACAAGGGATAGGAGGATGTGGAGAACCATGATTGCCTACGTCCTGAAGGGACACGGTATATAAAAAGAAAGGCTTCTGAGTCTGCTATCAGCAGTATCATCTGTGTTTATTATATTGCCAAGATTAATTCAAAATACTTTATTTCTAGTAGCAGCAAAGAGTTTCTTTTTAAAATTATTAGCACATTGAGTAGCCAGAATACGTTTGGTAGTCTACTAATTAAGATAGTGTTTTTTTAAGTTATTCTAGATATTGTAAAAACAGTATTCCTGACCAAAATCAGGACAGCTGTAAAGAAAATTCGCAAATCATTTCTGACAAGCCAAAATTTCCATGAAGCCTACCTCACATACCCTTAGGAATAGCCATTTCATAGCAGAGATGGAAGAGGGGATAATGATATCAACACAATAAGCAGTAAGGCTACCTGAAGGGCGATTGTAGACAGGAAGGACTCTGATATGTTGATCTTTGGTCACGCAATGAAAATTAAACTTAGACTTAGTGTCTTTTGAAACCAACGTAATTCATAATATTTGTCATTTAAGAATATAACGATTGTAATTCTTCTTCTAATTCTTTTATGTGCCGTATCCCTTCAGAACGAGGTTGATCATAGCTCTCCACAGCTTCCTGTCTTTTGTAGCTCTTATTTTCTATATCTACATACCCCTATTCTGCTAATCAGTTACACAAGCTCGTTAGGTAGGTTATACGCGGTTTTCCTTTGTACCTCTTCCCTTCAATATGCCTTGTGAGTGTCTAATTTTTCAAGCACTCTTTCCTCATGTACCCTAGAGATGTCAACCTTCTCTTGCTGATTCTATGTATAAGTGTCCTTTTTGTTTCCATTTTCTCTAAAACTTCGTCGTTGCTCACATGTTCAGTCTATGGTATTCTCAGCAGCCTTCTGTATGGTCACATATCTGTTGCTTCAAATGACTTCGTCTCTAATGAGATGGATCAGCATTCACTGCCATATAGAAGCACTGGTATTGCATCCCCACCTCTGTAACCACCTATTAATTGCTGCTCTTCTCAGGTCCACTCTGACATGGGGTAGTAGCACTTGTTAGGGTCCCAGCTATGGACAAGTAGTGAACCCCCAAACAAAAAAAAACATTATGAAAATATATATATATATATATATATATATAGGCAATACCTATTTATACTAAAATTACCAACGATATCGATTTATAGTATATATTTAGTTGGAGCCATAAAATAGTGTTCAAAATATTTAGATTACAGCATAAAATAGCCCACAGAGGTTGATAGGCGCTAAGCAAAATTAACTCATCAACAAATACAACCTCTGTAAGGAGAATAAGTGACTTTTATTTTTGAGGGTCATCAGCCTTTGGTCGGTACATATTTTAATCTATATAACATCCTGTCTTTGGTGTCTTCTATGTTATTCATTCAGAATTCACATTTTTCAATCTTCGATCGAACTCTGACTTGAGAGGAATAAGGACTAGTTGTCTTTTTTATATATCTTTTTACCGTAACTCTATTTATATCAGGTCATTCCATAAGTTCTGCCCGAATTTTGAATAAAGAAAACAAGTGACCAAATGTTACATTTAGTTACAGATTCAATCAACAATGTATTTTCTCTTATTATCTATGACTTCCTACCATCTATTAACAAGCTTACTAATTCCATTACTGTAAAATTCTTTTGGCTTTGATTCGAAGAACTCACAAATGTCAGTTTTATTCTTCCTGTGATACAAAAGCTGTTTCTTCCAAATGATTCTGTAAGCTACGAAACAAATGGTAGTCTGAAGGAGCAAGATCGGGAGAATAAGGTGGATGAGGAATTTTCTCCCAAGTTCTTCGATCTTTTGTGACGTGATTCTTGCTGTGTGGAGTCGCGCATTGTTCTGATGAAACATCACACCTTTTCGATTCACTAGAACAGGTCTTTTTTTTCCTCAAAGCTTTGTTCAAACGCTCTAATTGCTGACAGTATATTTGAGCATTAATTGTTGCATTAGGTGGTACGAATTCAAAGTGGATTATTCCTTGGCAATCTCACAAGATTGAAGAAGAACCTTTTGCCCATGAAGTTCCCTTCTCGGCTGTGGCTTTTGGTCCTTCCCCTTTACCAAGCTTACTGTCTACGACGCTTAACATTTCGATATCATTTTGTCGCCAGCTACAAGTCTATCCAAAAAAGGTGAAAACAAGTTGGCGAATGGAGAGAAGAGCAGATGTCAACTCAAGGATTTGAGGTTGTTTTTCAGACAATTCATGGAGGCACCCATTTTCCAAGTTTAGGAACTTTTCCAAGTTGTTGAAGATGATGATGAACAGTTGTATGGTTTGAACTGAGAAACCACTGCCAATTCCTCAACTGATAAAGCAGGATTTTCTTCAAGGGCTGCTCAAGAAGCTTTTCATCAAACTCAACTGGACGTCCGGTTCGATCTTCATCTTTAAGGGTGAAATCTCCACGTCTGAACTTTGCAAACCATCTTCTGCAAGTTCTTTCATTTCACATTCCTCTCCATAAACTGAGTGAATGTTTCTATCCGCTTCGGCTGCTGAGTTTCCTTTCTTGAACTCATAAAGCATTATGTGCCTCAAATGATTCTTGGGCACTTTCATGTTAGCAGGGTTTTAATCAAACAAAATTTTATTTTATTTTTCTCTGAAATAAAATTTGATCAGTTTAAATGAATCTAAACATAAAAATAATGTTCAGCTCCATTAGATATTATAAAATACTCTTTAAATTTCGTTCATTTTAACAAAAAGTTAAAATTCGGACAGAACTTATGAGATGACCTGTTATATATCATTAATATGCCCATGTTTATTAAGCAAGCGCTCAAAACTTGGAAGATTTCAATTTTAGTGTATATTCCGGCTAGTTTATGCTTAGAGTATGCGTCAAAGAACGTTGGTGAGATCGCTCTATGATTTTTAGCGGCTGGTCGTGTGGCATCTGTGCTACGCATGCGTAAAGCTAAAATAGTCAATAGAATACCTCTTAAAACTCTTAAGCATTTTTCAGGTTTGCTAGAACCTGTTTAATACATAATCTGTTGCGTTTAAACTAATCCATCTTTAGTTACCGAGTCCTGGGTATGGCGATAAACCACATCCGACAGCAAGGCCTCTGATCAGGAGGTTTTGAGGAGTGTGAAACTACCTCTTAATTGCTGTTGTTCCCAGGTCCACCCTGACCCGGGGTGGTAGCACCTGTTAGGGTCCTAGACATGAGCAAATATTGAACCTCCAAACAAAAACAAATCACTATGAAAGTATAAAAATACATTTTGGTAGTAAAATATCAACAATAAAATTTATAGTAAAAAATTATGAACAATACAATTTAAAGTGAAAATTACCAACAATTATTAATAGAATTACCAATAATACATTTTCTAACAGATTTACCAACAATAGATTTTATAGCAAAATGACAAGCAATATATTTTATCTGTATTTGAAGGCATACAATTGCGCTGAGAATTTATTTAGTGGGAGACATAAAATATTTCAAAATATTTAGATTTCGGCATTAAATAACCCACAGAGGTTGATATGCCGATAAAAAAAAATCAACCAACCAACATTTAGTTGACATACGTGATGCACGCTCAGATGATCTGACTTGGCAAGAGAATTCCTTCAGTAGGTTGCCGTTACTGTCTGTCACAGATTGGTTGTCATAGGACCTAGTCAGTCCTGCTATTTACCCATAGCTGGTGGGGCGGAGGTAGAAGAGATGGATTCATACCTTTCTCAAGTTTATTTGCGTGTAAGTGAATTTAAAACAATTCGATGTAATTCCAATTCGGCTATCTGATTTCTCATTCCCAGTCGGTCACCCAATTAGGTAATAAACAGGCTCAACGTTTCTTAACTCCGGAGATCAAACGAGAACCGGTGTTTCAACGTGCTATGGCCGTAACGGGATCAGGAAAGACAATCCTTAAAGTACTGAGTGCCCCCGTCAGTATGTGCACAAGGTCACATTCGTTGAAATAAGACAGATCATGTATAAGCTGGAGCACAGCACGAAAATCCGCATTTAAGCGGCTTAGTCAGAAATGTTTCCTGTGTTTCTGTAAATAAATTCTGCGATCACAGAAAATACTCCAACAAAAACAACAGAGAAAACAGAATCGACACTAAAATACCTCCCTGATTGACACCATTCTTTACATATAGGGGTTCCTTTGAGTACACTGTTGATGTTTGCGTTAGCATCTATGCAATTGTCCAAGGCTTTCCTAGACCCCTAATTTTCCTATGAGATTTCACAGCGTTCGATGTTTGACTGGGTCAAAAGCCTTTCTGAGGAAAATGAAAATTAGGTACATCTATATGCACTATTCTTGTGTTATTTCGAATGTTTTCATCTTTGTTGATATATATGTTATAAATATTGTTTTTACAGACACAACGTTTCGACAAAGTACGTTCTGGTCATCATGATGTGTTCATTGATTTGGCTGTTACGCGATAAATTTTGATTATTACGATATTTTGTCCCTTTTCTATTAGTTATTGTTCCTGAATTGGTGCTTCACGATCAACCAAGATGCGAAAAATAGTTCGAAATAATACAAGAAGATTGACAATCATCTCGGCAATGAAATACTAAAGTCTATACTCTGTCCAGATCATTTTTCCTGTATGTGAAAATCATATCGACTGTTCTCCTTTTATTTCGGACTCATATTGTAATTCAATGTATTATTGTAATGAATACTGCTTTCATTTAATCACCAAAGAGAACCTTTTGTGCCCGCCATCAGTATCGCTGATGCTCACCTCTAGGAGAACAACAATTTGCGCTTTCTTGGGCTTATGTTTTCCACTAACATTAAGTGGGGCAACTTTATCGAATCAATTGCTATGTCTACTTCTAAGTAGGTTCGGTCAGTGTATTGGGCCAATTTTTTTTCCCCTCATTAGAATCTATCTTGCACATTTATACGCCAACCATTCGTCCATGCTTTGAGTACTGCTGCCATATCTCCTGGTGTAGATCTCTAGATTTTTACACAATTCAAAGAATAGTCTGTAACGTAATTGATCTTGACTTGACATTTCTATTGCAGTCATTTTCTCACCAACATGACGTGGCTTCCCTTTCTTTTTTCTACGAACATTTTCATGGTAACTGTTGTGATGACCTTTATTTACCGGTGACTTGACTATATGAATTTAAGCATGCTACTAGATTGGCACGGTGGAGTAATGGATAGCGGCTCGGACTGAGAAATCGGAGAGGTGTTGATATGCTGATATAACAAAATCACCTAAACCAAACAAGTTCTTCTAAGATAAAGAGTCAAAAATGACTTTGGTTGCGTGAAATCTGTGGGTCTTTGTGAAGACCGTCCTCCTTCGAAACTGGCGCTACAGAATCCCAAACAATGAACTATACCAAGTAATAATAACTAGATAACGGACTTTCAACAGCAGTAACAACTAAAATGAATAGCACATATAATTCGAAGAGAGAATAATGTCATAGTCAAGATGCTGATGTTCCACACTACTTCAAACAAAAGTTTAGGTAGGAAACTTCCATCAATACTGGAAAGAACGATAACAGTGAATTTGAGAAATCTAGGCACGGTGAAGCAATGGATAGCGGTTCGGATTGAGAAATCGGAGAGCCGAGTTCGAATTTCAGTCGAATCCATTACATTGACTTACGTGCTAATATCCTTGGGAAAAGATATCAATCCTCTTCTTCTAACAAATGATGGGTAAATAGCAGGACAGACCGGATGGCAACTGGTCTATCGCAGAAAGAAGTGGCAACCTACTGCGGGAAAAAAATCTGCCTCGTCAGTCATGTATCGAAAGATACATGATCGCCTAAGCGTGTATCAAGCATGGCACATAACTGACTAGATTGTCAATTAGGTCTCACCGTTTTACTGTAGAACTACGAAGAAGCAACTGTCACTTCTATTCTGTTTCTTTTCTTGCACTTCTCACCAGTGAAACACCATTCCGATTTCTTGCTTTACTCATAAATACAATCACAAAAAAAAATATTAATGCAACGTCAATCGCTATCTTCTGTCCCTGATCTGCCAGGAATGGTGAAATGTTGTAAGATCTCTTATCACAGTGTGGAATATCTAATAACAAAAGTGATGGAAACAAAAAGAAACTAGATGAAATCGATTAGATTATATAAAATAAAAAAAAAATGATTTAAAATTCCCAGCATCCCTCGTTCGTGCGCATGTGTAGTCGCACAAACATAACAAATTCATTCCGATTAAGTCGTAAATGACGAAACGTGTTGCCCGAAAACCTTTTCCACTCTGTCATACATCTCCCCACATTATTGTTCTCGATATATAAAAATGTATATATTATAATCTCATATACCGTATTTGACAGCATATAAGGAACACTTTTTTTTTACTAAAAATATTTTTTTTAAATACCCCTGCGTCTAATATTCCATATGTAGTTTTGAAATTTGCGTTAGTCGGCTGAAATTAGCTACGTGGCAACTCCTATTAGCTTAGACTTTAGAGTAACTTTCATATACATATTGTCATTATTTAAAAGGCTATTATGCAGGTTAAAAGTGTTTTCATTGATAATATTGATTTCATCACGTTTAATATTGGTATTTTGTTTCACTAAAATTATATGCAATAAATTCAAATTATATATTTGTAAAATATATTTGTTTCATTAATATTTTTCTTGCGATAACTTCCGGTTACATTGGTATAAATACAATCAGAATTTTTATATCTTAGTTATTACAATAAGATGCTACAAGACAGGTTGTACATATATAAAGGATATAATAGAGTTTTTTTATAGGCTCGTGTTCTTTTTTCCTATTATTTTTTGTTTAATTGTAATCATGACTTGTTTAACCAAAATAATACCTCATAAATATAACCTAGGCTGTACCATTTACTAATAATTTTACTAATTACTATTTCGTTTTTGATTTACCTTGCTGAAATTGGGGTGTGTCTTATACGCCGTCAAATACGGTAATTAAATATAAATTTTCCAACGTGTTTTGTTTATTGTGTTATGTCGGTCGAACTGTTTTTCAGATATTGCGTCTCCGCGTGTCATATTTTTTTTAAATATCACATCTTCAAGAAACTGTTCATTTTAGCGTATATATTTTCTATACGTAAATTTCAGTTATTTTTCGCGAAATATTCACATCTTAATATAAAAAAAAAGCAAGTAGCATTGCTAGCACTTACATTTATTTTACTTTTGAGCAATTTAAAGAAAATCAAGGAACCCAACAAGATCAGCCTTGCCGAACTTTTTGTATCGCTCAGTCATGTTCTGCTTTCATATGGAATATACTTTCAGGCTGTGGGCGATTATGTCTCACCACACCTTCCTATTGTTGCTCTAAAACTTTACTAATTATCTTTGTTTTGTAGGTTTTGTTCTGCCAATCATTGAGTCGGGTTCATTAAGTAACTTTCTCTCTAATCCTCTTGCCATAAATATGTCCTGCGTGTTAAATTCTCCAAAACCTCTTTCCTCATGTGATCATATAATATTTACCTGTCCCTTTTTTAATGTAAGCAGCACATAGAATCCTAGTATCAACAACTTACAGTACGACAAACGTTGCTGTAACGTGTTTTCCAGCGGCCTATCCAATTAATGGAGAGCAGGAAAATCGTTTCATTTTGATGACAGAACAAGAACCAGAAAATATTTATCTATGAAGAGACATGTTCAATTCGGTATCCTTGGATACAGTTAATACATTCTGTTTTTTTTTTGTTTTTTTATGGAATTAACTTTTTTCTTTTTTTTTTTACAAATGATAAAATTTTGAAGGTTTTATATTAACTAAGTGCTAGGTAGATTTTGCTTGGGGATATTTGCTTCAGTTCTCAGCGATTCGCTACTTACTAAATGCTACTTTTATTTGTTGGTGTTGAAAATGTATTGGTATTTTTTTTCGACGCATCGCGCATATGCGACAAGACTGAAAAATGGGAAAACAATGAATTTGCTTTTCCTGTCTGTTCGATTTTGATAAAACGTTATTTTGGAAGATTTTGATAAAATATAAATGACTATCAGAAGATATGAGTTAAGAAAAATTTATTTGTAAGTACCCTTTAACAAAACTGACAACTTTTAAATTAAAACAATCCAAATTGAATTTCTCTCTCTTAAATATATATATATATATATATATATATATATATATATATATATATATATATATAAAAATGTGTGTGTTTGTATATGTGTATGTATGTATATATATATATATATATATATATATATATATTTATCCCTGTCCATTCATCACGTCATGCATGACAGACTGTCTTTTTTTTTTTTTTTCTCTTCATAATTTGTGTTCACCGTTAACAGTTCTGATGAGAGGGGACGAAACCGGTCGACTGGTGTGTGTTTTTGTTTTTATTTTAAATCTATCATGGCCTATAATATAAAATTTCTTGCTTCTTATGCTATAATACGTTTCTGTACTGTTTCAAAAACACACACACACACACACACACAAATATATATATATATATATATATATATATATATATATATATATATATATATGAATGTATTTTATAGTAAAAAAAAGGGAAGAACAGTAAGATATGTAAACCGGTGTTCTTATTGATATTTTTATTTTTACAAAACGGTGCTTAATGTAAATTTACAGAGTATAAATATTAAAAATTAACTGATTTAAAAATATGGTTTCACCGCTACACAGGAATTACCATGTTTCAAAAACAGAAAAACTTCAAATTCAATTATATTAAATTAAAAGCATTAGTTTTGTTTCATCTACAAACGAATTTTGGAATAACTTATTTTTAAAAAATTATTTAGAAAAACTCAGTAAATTTAAAAATAAATTATTCCAAAATTCGCTTGAAGATAAAAGAGAACTAATGCTT